CTCGCCGACATCGTCTGCACGGGCTCAGCCCGCTGCTTGGCTTCCGAAGGTCCGATTTGATCAGAGGCGTGGTTCGTTAAAGACAAACCGCAACTGGCGCATGGGCGATTACATTCGCGTCAGTTTTGTAAAAAAAAATAACGAACACGGATCTCCTCTTGGTTCTTTCGGTAAAGTCACGTAGAAGGGAAATAATAAAATAATAAAATAAAACATATTAAAATAATACAATTCTCACGACGTTTCGGCCACAACGCAAGCAGCCGTCCTCAGGTGAAGACCAGGTCTGTCGGGGAGACAGCGTCTGAATGACGCTGTCTCTGTACGTCACGTGGTACGCGTCATTCAGACGCTGTCTTTCCGACAGACCTGGTCTTCACCTGAGGACGGCTGCTTGCGTTGTGGCCGAAACGTCGTGAGAATTATTTTATTATGTTTTATCTGTATTATTTTATTATTTCCCTTCTACGTGACTTTACCGAAAGAACCAAGAAGATGAATCCCTGCAGTCACGAAAGCTTTAAATCGAAACACGGATCTCCTTTCACATATCTGTCAACATAAAAGTAAATTATATTTATATCGCTCTGTACGTCACGTGGTACGCGTTTAGCAATCATCAGGCGCGTGGAGCGGACGCGGCGAGTGGCAATCCATCGGGCGAATGTCAACGACGCCTGCCCCGGACACAACGGTCGCGTCGGGGTGGAACGAGCGGGTTACCTCACTCAGCCATCACCACCACCGCTGCCGTGGCATAGCAGACAACATTAACCGTGCACAATTGTAGCCTCCCTCTGCCTTGTTCACACGCCATGCAACATTAGAAGCGTGTGGTGACTTATAAGTAGCGACTTACAGAAGCACGTTTAGGGCGCCACGGTGGCTACGAGATGTTAACTACCTCGCCTGGTATACAGGAGGTCGTGGGTTCGATCCCGACCCTGACGCCTGACGCCTGGTGCTGTATATTTGGAGATTGCGTGTCTCTCTCTCTCATCATCATCATCACGGTGGCTAGGAGGTGTCAACTACCTCGCCTGGTATACAGGAGGTCGTGGGTTCAATCCCGACCCTGACGCCTGCTGCTGTATATTTGGAGATTGCGTGTCTCTCTCTCATCATCATCATCATGGTGGCTAGGAGGTGTTAACTACCTCGCCTGGTATACAGGAGGTCGTGGGTTCGATCCCGATCCCGACCCTGACGCCTGCTGTATATTTGGAGATTGCGTGTCTCTCTCTCATCATCATCATGGTGGCTAGGAGGTGTCAACTACCTCGCCTGGTATACGGGAGGTCGTGGGTTCGATCCCGACCCTGACGCCTGCTGCTGTATATTTGGAGATTGCGTGTCTCTCTCTCATCATCATCACCGTGGCTAGGAGATATTAACTACCTCGTCAGGTCTACATGAGGTCGTGGGATTCATTCCCGACCCCTGACGCCTGCTGTGTATTTGGAGTTTGCGGGGTCTCTCTCCCAGTGGTCGCGTGGATTTTTCTCCGGGTCTTCCGGCTTTATCCCTCCACATTTATAAAACACGCGCTTGGATTATTTGGCTGCTATACATTTCCACACGATAAGCCACTTCGTTGAGCTATCATTTGTGACCAGGTCGCTACTGAAAATTTGCTATATAGCTTAGTGGGCCTTACCTGGTAAAACAAAAAAATAGTTTAGTAGTTTTAATTACAATTTTAGTTTACACCTTTTATTGTTGCACATACAGGGACCGATATATGACCGAGATATATCGCCTGTGCTTTGTTGTTGTTGATCATGGGTGATTAAAAGCACCCGTGGGTTACCCTGTGAGTAGTTTCTGCCACGACGAGGGGGTGATTGTTCAGCAACGGCGAAGAGGTCTCTCCCGTGCTTCATGATAATCAATCAACCGAGTCATTTTCGCAGCCTCACGAACAACACTCGCGGATGGTGACTGGCCAAACATTCGTCCCCCAAATGTTGGGACTCTTATGAAATCTTTTTTTTGAGTCTGGAGACTTAGCGAGACGTTTCTGGATACAATTAGTGCATAATAACATTGTTATTCTTGGTTATTTCGGTAAAGTCACGTAGAAGGGAAACAATAAAAAATATATTAAACAATAAACATTTTCACGACGTTTCGACTGCAACACAAGCAATCATCTTCAGGTGTGAAAACCACAGCAAGAAAATTTGAAAAAAGTGGCGTTTTTTTATTTTCTTGCTGTGGTTTTCACACCTGATGACGATTGCTTGTGTTGCAGTCGAAACGTCGTGAGAATTTTATTTTATATATTTTTTATTTTATTGTTTCCCTTCTACGTGACTTTACCGAAAGAACCAAGAATATCAATCCCTGCAGTCACGAAAGCTTTAAATAAAAAAAATAACATTGTTGTCTTTATTACAGGATTAGGCCTCAAGTAAAGTAGCGAATACCGCTGAAAAATTAGTCTCGGAAAATCTTGTAAGCCAAGCATGGTCGAGGCTGGACAGTGCTTGGTTGGGTGACCAATCCACATGCATAAAACAGGTGTTGTAGGTTTACGTGGGGTTACGTTTTCTATACTCTTAGTTCTTTCGGTAAAGTCACGTAGGTAAAAAATGAAATTAAAATTAATAAAAATAAAATAATAAAATCACGACGTTTCGGAGGCAACACAAGTCTCCGTCATCAGGTGGGACCGTCACAGCCAGATTTGCTGCATCAAGTGAGGCAGGGATTCCAAGATGCAGGTTCTTACATACAAGTTATCGCCTAGGGGACAATGCAGTGAAATCAACACTGTTGTATTGTACTACGCGCCAACGTCTATGCTTCACCAACCCCCACCACTCAGCGCGGTGAAGTCTGGTGTCAGGTGGTCCTCACCCGAGTGACAGGAGACCAGTCCGTGAAACGCGTGTCGCAAGAGAAGGCAATCTCCGATGGGCAGCGATTTGACAACTTTAAGCGAGTGACTTTGAACGCTCTAATTAGGGGTTATGAACGCCAGGCTTGCGTAATCCACCGCGCCTCCCCATGTTGATCAGTGTTTTCGTTCGAACGCAAATCACATCGCGTCGTTGATGAACGCTGCCCGCGCCTCATGATTGCTCAACACGTTACGCACAGAGCGCTGAGTCGACAACCCAGAGCACGACGGACGCGCACACAAAGACAAAGATCCCCGCTTTCGATGCGAACAGACTTTTGGGGTAAGCGCTGTCAGCGAGCTCCTATTAAAGGCCGGCACGGCACGCGAATGGGTGGGTTGCCAGCTGCCACGCACGACCGCCTTTGTCTCCCGCGTGGCGGGATGTTCACACACCGCACCAGGTAGCGTACTCGTTTGAGGCCGAGTCGACCTAGGGGAGGCCAAGGACCGGTTCAGATTTTGTTCGAAAATCGAACTCGGCTCTCCGGGCTCGTAGCGCAGCGCGCCAACCGCTAAATTACAGCTGCAACGTCACATTGTGGTCACTCACGCACACGAGATCTCAATATTAATTGCAATTGGCATAGCAATTCGCCCTCTCTATATCCCGATGGGGGGGGGGGGCACGCTCACACACACACACTATGTCTATCAATTTCGATCAGCGCTCTCAACACGCGCAAGACATCAAAATCGATTCGAATTGGCGCTTTGTATACCGATGCAAGCACGCACACCGTGCCCAAACACAGCCCTGTGTCAATCCACTGCTGGATAAAGGCCTTCCCCACGACGCATCGGGCATGGGAATTGATTGACCATACTTCACCACGCCGGCCAGTGCGAGTTGGTGAAGGGGTGGCCAGGGAGGCACGAAAACCGGTTCAGATATCGCTCGGTATCGATGCTCGCCGTGGCCGCGAATCAAACTTGTGTGGCGCTAACAACCACTGCGCTATCCCTCCACCCACGGGAGTTCACAGCTCCACGCTGGCGAGATGTTAACTACCTCGCCTGGTGTGCAGGAGGTGGTGGGTTCGACCCTGACGCCTGCTGCCGTATATTTGGAGTTTGCGTGTCTCTCTCTCATCATCATCACGGTGGCTAGGAGATGTTAACTACCTCGCCTGGTGTGCAGGAGGTCGTGGGTTCGACCCCGACCATGACGCCTGCTGCCGTATATTTGGAGTTTGCGTGTCTCTCTCTCATCATCATCACGGTGGCTAGGAGATGTTAACTACCTCGCCTGGTGTGCAGGAGGTCGTGGGTTCGACCCCGACGCCTGCTGCCGTATATTTGGAGTTTGCGGTGTCTCTCTCTCCCCGTGGTCGCGTGGAGAAGCACCTGGCGCGTGGTTTAAGGCAGCCACGCATTTGCAAATAAGCCACTTCGATAAGCTATAATCTGTGGCAAAATCGCGTCTTGAAAAATAGCTCTATTGTTCAGTAGACCTTAAAATAGTCTAGCATTAGTTTAAATACATAGTTTAATCAATTAAAATCGGGGCTTTTGTTTTACGCTGGACGTGTTTCTCAATCATCGGACGCGTGCGGCGTGTACTATGTTTGTGTTTGAACGGGGGAGATTAGAACGCGTGGAAAGGCGTTCCGTGGTGGGTTGCTCGGACGCTGCAGCCAGTATCTGTTCCATTCCAACCCTTCTCACTGCAATGCTGAGAGATGGAAGAGCCAAAGGCGCAGCCTTGCAATTGCCTATTCACGCTGATGCGGACAGAAGCGCTTCCACTCTAGGGAGCTCCAGAGAACACTTTTTTTAAAGATGGTATTTGTCCTACTTGGCCAGACGACTTCGAATACGCCGAAGTACCCACACTTCCCCCCACCACGCGTCACCTACCCGTTGATCACAACAACTGCCGTGTTACCGATTCATACCGCCGGGCGGTGGCTGAAACTCGCGGGGCATACTTCAAGAAACTTGCCTAAATTAACAAAAATGTCAACTACCGCGCCCGCGAGATCGAACGGAACCGGCGACCACGGCATTGCGAGCCCCATCGCATCCTCGCCCCTGAGCGAACGGGCGAGTGACCCCCGTTGCCCGGGCCCCCTGTCTCCGTGGGCTCCCTCACCTGTACCACTCAAGGCCCCTCTCGTAGTTGCGATCGAAGAAGTGAGCTTCTGCCCCCAGGGCGCGCACGGCCGGGTGGAGCCTCAGGGCTTCGAGCAGCGCCCGGGTGCCCCCCTTCTTCACCCCGATGATGAGCGCCTGCGGAAGCCTCTTGCAGCACGGAATCCCGAGTTCCGATTCCTCCGCTTGCCCTCCATCCCTCCTTTCCAACTCGTCCGCGTCCTCCTTTCCCAGATCGGCATTGTCCCAATCAGCAACATCATCATCGACATCAACATCGTCGTCGACATTCCTCTTCGTCTTCTCATTGTGCTGGATGCCTGCCGCTGCTCCTCCGTCGTCCTCATTGTTCTCACTCATCTCCTGCAGAGCGCGCAGTCCAGAGCCCCGTTCGCGAGTCTTCGCCGAGCCGTGCGCTCTTGCCGCGTGCGGAGTCTTGGAGCCCCGTGCGAGGCCCTCTCCTCCCCCGTCGCCTCCTTCTCCTCTCCTCCCTCCACCTCCTCCTCCTCCACTCGACTGGCTCGCGTAGCCTCGCCTGCTGAGAGGGGGAGCCTGGATGCTATCCTCTTCATCTTCATCTCCTGCTGCTGCTGCTGCTGACCATGCCATTGCTGCTCTTCCTTCTGATCCTGCACCACCTGCCCCCGAGGCTGCTCCCACGCGTCGCCCGGTTACTCGCCCCTCGTCCACCGCCCCCGTTACGCCGATTCCTCCTCCTCCTCCACCACCACCAGCAGCAGCAGCCGCTCCGCTTCCTCCCCCCTCGCTACCACCCCCCGTCGGCAGCGTCTCGGCGGCGTGCTGGCAGCTCGGCAGGGAGCAGAGGAAGAGGTAGGTGGAGAGGAAGAGCGCGGAGAGCATGACCAGGAGCGGGCTGCTGAGACGCACGGGGAGACCGACGAGGAGGAGGAGGCGGTGACGATGGCGTCGGGCGGGGAGAGTCGGGAGCAGCGGGGCAAGTCCCTGCGGCCCCGCGGGGCTGGTGGCCGTCCTCGCCATGCTGCCCGGCCCAGAGAGTTCGAGCCAACAACATATTGCAGCGGCGAGCCGGAGCGTGAATCCCCTCCTACCCCACTCTTCCCCTTTGTTGTTGTTGTTGTGTGTGTTTTGGTGTCTGTGTGTGTGTGTGTGTCTCTGTGTGTGTGTCTGTGTGTGTGTCTTGGTGTCTGTGTGTGTGTGTCTGTGTGTGTCTGTGTCTGTCTATGTGTGTGTCTGTGTGTCTGTCTGCGTCTGGGTGTGTCTCTGTCTGCGTGTGTGTGTCTATCTGTGCCTGTGTGTATGTCTGTCTGCGTGTGTGTCTGTCTGTGCCTGTGTGTGTGTGTCTGTCTGCGTGTGTATCTCTGTCTGTGCCTGTGTGTGTGTCTGTCTGCGTGTGTGTCTCTGTCTGTGCCTGTGTGTGTGTGTCTGTCTGTGTGTGTCTGTCTGCGTGTGTGTCTGTGTGTGTCTGTGTCTCGTCACTCTACGCGATGTGGGCGGGAGTGGTGGTGGTGGTGAAGGGTGAGTGGAGATGAATGTCGGTGATCGTGCGGAGTGGTGGTTGCGGTGATTAAAGCTGGCGGTGCTGTTGGGGTTGACGATGGTGGTGGTTGTAAAAGCACGAGTGACGGTGGTGGTATGCAGGTGGTGGTATGATGGTTGTAGTGATGACGGTGATGCTGATGGTTGCTGTTAGCAGTGATGTTACCAGCGGTAGCAGTGATGAAAGCTGGCTGTCGTGGTTGCAGTAATTCAGGGTGGTGATAATATTAAAGTGAGCAATTCCTAATTGTCAAGTGTATGGGTATGGATGGATTATGTATGACTATGTTTCTTTGAGTGCACTTGTGTTTGTGAGCACACGTGTGTTATATGCGAGAATCTTTACAAGTGTATGTATTGTATACAGCATTCGGTGTGCTGGTGAGTGTTACGTGGTGGATACGACATGATGTGCGTGTACATGTTGCTGTGCGTACACGTATGCTCGTGTGTGCCAGTGTTATGTCTATGCTTTGTGTGTTCCAGCGCACGTGTTAAGTGTGTACACATTCACGCGTACACAGGGAACACAGGCTACGTATGCGTTATGTAGAAAGTGTATTATACGATACGGATATGTTACTTGTTTGAAGAGTGTCAGAGTCACCTACATACACAGTTGTGCATATTATATGTGCGCGTTTAGTTCGGTGAGCTGTGCGTACGTTGTAAATGAGATGTTACACAGCGCTCAGCAGAGTGTACGTGCGTAACGCGAGGCAGATTGACATCGTAAACGGCGTGTGCCTATGGCTCTCCGTGTCCCGTGCTATGTGTGCATCATAGATGTGCTTAGTACAGTGTATGTGTATGCGTGGTTCTCGCTACGAAAAGAACACTTTCCCCAACAGCCTGCGCAGGTTACACGGTGGATGTTTGCATAAAAAACGTGCGCGTGTGTATATATGTAAAATGCGTGTATAATAGCGTCTCACGTGTGTGTGTGTAGATGTCTATGTAAGTATAAAGTGCAGGCGAACAGCGCTTGCTCCAGCAAGCCCCGGTGAAGGCTCCTCTCCGCACGGCGGGGGAGGTCTGCGCGCGTGTGGGAAGGGAAGCGCCGCTCGCGCGCGGTGCCTACGATCGAGCAGGGGGACTTGACTCTTCTGGCAAGAACCACAGCCTCACTCCCTCCCTCCCCTCCTCCACTCACACCCACCCACACACCCAGGCAGTCTCCCTCCTCCTCCTCCTCACTTCGCCACCTCCCTCCTCCCACACAACAAGCACTGTGACACCACCCCCACCCAGCACCCACGTCCCACCCAGCCACTCATCCATCGGCACCCCCCCACACCTCCTCCTCCTCTCGAACTCGAACGCCATATCCACCCCGATCATACGCTGACACCAACGCACACAACTCCTTCCCACCCACTCATCCACCCACACCCCCCCATAAACCAACATCAACCCCCCACCCCAGCACTCCGTACCACCAAAAGACAAAGATCCCCCGTATGGAATTTAGCAGGACTTGGGGCAAGTGCTGTTAGCGAGCACCTGTGATGGCCGGACACGGCACACGATGGGGTGGCCAGCACCACGCCCGTCCGCCTTTGTCTCCCGAGTGGCGACGTTTGCACACCGCACCAGCTACTCATTTGAGGCTGAGTCGACCTAGGGGTGGACCGGGACCTGGTTCAGATAATCGTCAGCCGGTGTTGGCCGCGAGCGGGAATCGAACTCGGGCGACCGGGTTGGTAGCACAGCGCGCTAACCGCTGCGCCGCCGCCCACTATACAAACCAAATCGATCCCCAACGCTGTTGGGGCCAGCGCTGTTAGCGAGCACCTATTAACCAGTTTATTCATTTAATGCCGAGTCGGTCGAGGTGTTAGTGCACACGCCACTCGCAACGAATCCTTAGCCGCGAGTGGGAATCGAACTCGTGTCGCCGCGCGTCGCAGAGCAGTGCTGCATACAAAGATAAAGATCCCCCCTATAGCCGTAGCAGACTGTCGGGGCAAGTGCTGTCAGCGAACAACTCTGACGGCTGGAACGGCACACGAGGGGGTGGGGTGGTCAGGACCACGCCCGGTGGTAGCCTTTGTCTCCACAACGCACCGCATCGGATTCTACATCAAGGCTGAGTCGACCTAGGGGAGGCTCAGAACCGGTTCAGATAATCGTCACCGGTGTTAGGCCGTGAGCGGGAATCGAACTTGTTCCGCACGTCGGGTTCGTAACGCAACGCGCTAACCGCTGCGCCACCGCTCCCCCACCCACCCCCTCGTGTGCCACAGCGCCGGTCTTCACAGGTGCGCGCTAACGGCACTTGCCCCAACAGTCTGTTAAGACTATTTGGGCGAACCTTTATCTTTGTCCCCTTACAGACACACGTTCACACACACACACTTACCATCACCTTCACACACACACACTTACCATCACGTTCACACACACACAAGTGCAGACACGCCAACACACACGGACGCACTTTCACACAACACTTCTTCCACCCACACGTATTCACCATTCACCACTTCCAGCACCCTCTCATACAACAGGCCCCCACCAACCCCACTCCCACTCTGTGTCGAGATTCGTCTTCAACTCTTCCCATTTGGCTTTGTTCCCTCGTGGCGGGGGGTGGGGGAAGTTGTTCCTTATCACAGCGAGCTACGGTGAGCGTTGCCGGCGTTTTAAGGTGCCTTGTGATGAAGTACAACCTAGCCTGGCACAATGCCTGTGGGGACGTCACCGCCATCAACGTAGCTGCGCTACGAACACGGCATGTAACCCGAGTTCGATTCCCGCACACGGCAAACATTGATGGCGAATATCTGACACCGGTCCTGGGCCTCCCTCCCCCGCTCCTCCCTTGAGGTCGACTCAGCCTGAACCGGGTCACCGACACGGCTGTGTGGCCATCACCGCTCGTACGTGAGTGGGGTTGGCTGCTGGCAGCCCCCAAATGTGTTCGCCAGCAGCAGCAACTCTCGCCAATGTGTCCCTCGAAGTGAAGACGAAGGCGCGGAGTCTCTCGCGAGCGCGTCTTTGTCTCTCCTGAGTGCGCGTGTGAGTGATGTGCGTGGGTGCTCCATCCCGCCCGTGAATGGGTCCTCGTTAACAGCGTGCGTCTCGATTGTTCTGCGATGCTGTGGGCACGGGGTGTGTGTGCGTGTACGTGTGTGTACGTGTGTGTGTGCTGAACTTCAGCCAGTCATCTCGGTCATCTCGGTCAGTCGACCCGTGGCACCTGGGTCTGCCCCGTGACCTCCTGCCAGCGGGCGTTCGACACTTCACGTGGCCTCAAGGTGCACATGGCCTGGCACAAGCATCGTCGTGGTGACGTCACCGCCACTTAGTGGCGAATGGCGGTTGTTGTGCTGAACTTCGTTCGCACCGTACGTAGCCAACCGTGGAAATCTGAGGCGCGTGACTAATCGGGTGCCTCTGGCGTAAGAACTTCAAGCGCACACACGTAATGTCCTACTTGCTGTACTGCCTACTTGTTGTATACTCCCTTGTGATCCACCAATGCCACGGCGTGCGGGTTGTGTGTGTGTGGCGGTGGTGAGGGGCTCACGTGACCATACTCCATCACGCCGGTGAGGACGGCATTGGTGAAGAAGGGGGGTGAGCCCGGGACCCATTTACGTATCAACTCGCAACCCACGTTCGCCGTGACCGTGAATCTAGCGTGAGTGCAGTGCGCTAACCACTGCGGTAATGCAACAACAACAACATCAACAACATCAACATCGTCGTCGTTATTATTTCACGACGGGCTCTTCTTACATTTCGCTGCCGTTGCGTTGAAGGCTTCCAGCGGCAATTGAACGGCACGGCGGCGCGATTCAGCCCTGAACCATCGGTGGACATTCCATGTTCCCGTGGCCGAGGTCAGAGTGTTTCCATGCGATGACCGCAATTCAATTGTGAAGCTTCACTGGAGGTCAGCCCGTACTCCAGACGCGGTGCAGGCGTGTGGCATGCACCTTGACACGCACCTTGACACTCACCTTGACACTCACCTTGACACTCACTCTGACACTCACCTTGACACTCATCTTGACACTCACCCTGACACTCACCTTGACACTCATCTTGACACTCACCCTGACACTCACTCTGACACTCATCTTGACACTCACCCTGACACTCACTCTGACACTCACCTTGACACTCACCTTGACACTCACCTTGACACTCACCTTGACACTCACCCTGACACTCACTCTAACACTCACCTTGACACTCACCCTGACACTCACTCTAACACTCACCTTGACACTCACCTTGACACTCACCTTGACACTCACCCTGACACTCACCTTGACACTCACCCTGACACTCACCTTGACACTCACCTTGACACTCACTCTAACACTCACCTTGACACTCACCTTGACACTCACCTTGACACTCACCTTGACACTCACCCTGACACTCACTCTAACACTCACCTTGACACTCACCTTGACACTCACTCTAACACTCACCTTGACACTCAGCCTTGACACTCACCCTGACACTCACCTTGACACTCACCTTGACACTCACCCTGACACTCACCTTGACACTCACCTTGACACTCACTCTAACACTCACCTTGACACTCACCTTGACACTAACCCTGACACTCACTCTGACACTCACCTTGACACTCATCTTGACACTCACTCTAACACTCACCTTGACACTCACCTTGACACTCACCCTGACACTCACCACTCCACACTCACCACTCCACACTCCACACTCACCACTCCACACTCACCACTCCACACTTCACACTCACCACTCCACACTCCACACTCACCACCACACTAACCACTCCACACTCACCACTCCACACTCACCACTCCACACTCACCACTCACCACTCCACACTCACCACTTCCCATTCCACACTCACCACCACACTCACCACTCCGCACTCACCACTCCACACTCACCACCACACTCACCAACTCCCCACCACACTCACCACCACACTCACCAACTCACCACCACACTCACCACCACACTCACCAACTCACCACCACACTCACCATCACACTCACCAACTCACCACTCCACACTCACCACCACACTCACCAACTCACCACCACCACACTCACCACCACACTAACCACCACACTCACCACTCCACACTCACCAACACACTCACCACCACACTCACCACCACACTGACCACCACACTCACCACCACACTCACCAACTCACCACCACACTCACCACCACACTCACCACCACACTCACCACCACACTCACCACCTCACTCACAACCACACTCACCACCACACTCACCACCACCACCACCACACTCACCACCACACTCACCAACTCACCACCACACTCACCACCACACTCACCACCACACTCACCACCACACTCACCAACTCACCACCACACTCACCACCACACTCACCACCACACTCACCGCCACACTCACCACACGCTCACCACCACACTCACCACCACACTCACCAACACACTCACCACCACACTCACCACCACACTCACCAACACACTCACCACCACACTCACCACCACATTCACCACCACACTCACCACCACACTCACCAACTCCGCCGAGCCCACGTGCCCTCTCTGCCTGTGCAGTTCTCTGCCGCCCCCTCCTGGAGGACCCGCGGGGTGGCAAGTGCCGTGCGGGCGCTAGTGACACGCCGCTAGTTCACGTCTGAGTCGACCTAGGGGAGACCCAGGACACATTCAGACACCACCAAATTGCCAGCGGTGCTGCGCGGCGCGCATGACCTGTCGTCATGTTCGTGCAGTGCTCTTATTTGAACGACTCGCACAGACACCTTATAGGCTAAAGGGCAACGTGTAGTTAGCGAGCACCTATTAACGCGACATCTGTAAGCGTGTGAGGGCGGTGGCGTTGATAGCTCCATGCACGCCCGCACGCCTTTGTTTCTCCTGCAGTGTTGGTGATTTCACGCCATGTATTATTAGCGTGGGCCTCCTTACCACAATGCTCCAGACAGGTTTCTGATATCCGTCGACACTGACTGTTAGCCGGGCATCGCCCTTAGGTGGCCGCGAATCAAAATGCAGCGTGGTGGTTGGCACATTGCTGCCCACACGGACACGTGTCCACGTACCCAAGGGCAAAAGATCTCCCGATAACCTGAGCAGAC